ACAAACAAAAAAGGTTGAATGCTGGGATCATTTACTGTCATCCAGGATGTTTTTTTTTTAAAAGACAATGTCCTATCAAACAGGTTATACTCCACTGTATGCAGAATTCCATCTGTTCAGGGTATATTGCCAGCACAAAAGAGACTTAGTGGGATATGTGTTACCTTACACCTGTGCAGTGGCATCAACAGGACTGTTCAAAGTTTAAGTCTTAAACTGTGTAACCCTGCTTTAACTGATGGGTTATACCAGTGCCACAGGAATCAGAGTTAACCGTCAAACCTGTACTGACTGATACGCAAAATGGAAATAATTGAGGTATTCAACCTAGGCTCAATCTGCCTAGCTCAGACTTCATGAACGTGCTTCATTTTGAAGTTTAACATGCTTGATGAAAAGAGAAACGCTCATGTAGCAGGTTTGGGATGTTACAATGGCATTTTTACAGTTACTTCAGCGTAGAAGTGTTTTTTAAGTTAACTTAAATATGCATTCTTTCTTTTTGCATCACTGCTAAACGGTAGGGGTCAGGGACGTAGTTCTGGTCTCTGTTGTGAACCTGCACATCACTCTAGTCATGAAACTACCTGTGAGCTGTGTCTGAGAGTAGCTGATGTTCTGACATGCAAAATGATGTATACCGGTACAAGAACAAGGTCAAGTCCCAAGAAAGTAAGTGGCTGCAGGCATTTCTAGTGCCTACTGAATCATATTTAAACCAAATAGAGGGGAGGAAGTTATTTGAAATTCTAACCAACTGTACTATCTGTATGGTGTATTATTAATGTAGCTTTTTGAAGTGGAAGCCTTGAAATGACATAACTTAATACTTGAAAATATATTGTAAATGTTTCTTTGTAATTATGTGCCATCCAGATAAAAATACAGTTATCATAATAAAATCAGACTTGTTGATCTTTCAGTTTATGGGCTCAAATGTTTTTTCATCTTTGTCTTCTCATTAATGCCTTGCTTTGAGTGGTTCATGACACAAAACGGGAAAACAGAAAGGGGAAAATGCTGTTGCTGCTATCTGTGTGGGTCCTCTGTTGGAAAACAAGATAAAATGGAGGGTATGCAGGAGAAATGTTCTTACTCATCTGTCTTTTAAGTTAAGTTTGTGGTGAGGACAAAACGAAGGCTTTATTCCTTGAACTAAAGATAGAGTTGTACTTCTGAGAATCACCACTCCTTGTATTTTACAGTTGCTTTTCTTTCTTAATATTTTATTAATGTGTTTGATCAATAAACTGTGGAGAAGTAGAATACTTCCATAAACGCTTCCATGGTCTATTGGCATCTTCCTCCTTTCTGTCCCGTTTTTGGGCTCTGAAGTTTGACGAGTAGTTAACGATACGCTGTTAAACCATAATCTTTCATCAAATTGTTATTTCCACGCTAAATGCTGGAGCGAGTGTAACAGAGGTTTGAGGGTGCTGAAAGGACAGAACATTTTTAAAGCTCCAGAGTAAGCCAAGCACTATAGTCTTTCATTTCTGTTAATCTTCAATGCTGTATTTGTAGAGAGCAGTTTAAAATAGCCTGCTGGCTTTCTAGCATCCAGGCATTCTAGTGAAAGTAGTCTGCAGCTTGAGAAAAACAAACATTTCACACAAAAAATGGCTTAAAAATTTAATAGCATACTGGCATGCTCTGCCTTTTTGGCCTCCAGTTGTAGAAAACACCCTGTTCAGCATTGAAATTTGTGTTTGTTAAACTGTGTGTACCACAGAACCAAGCGCCATCAGCGCTGAACTGCTGCACTACCTTCCTTTTCTACTATTTCTCCCCCCACAGCTGCTTCAAGACTATTTAGCGTTTAAGTAAGAAACAATTTCATGCTCAGTTCTCTGTTAGTCCTTTCCAGTTTGATTCTGCTGCTGTGTCTCTTAGTAGCATTCTAAGTTAACTTCTCTTTCCTCTGAAGAGCTTAGCAGCATCTGCGAGGAAAAAGCAGATCTGTGTTTCTGCAATCTCCAGCTGCCTGGAGAGATGGTATCAAAGTAAACGTAGGCAACCATATTCCAACGCTTGGCGTCTCTTGGTACCTCCAGATTATCAGATTTCTCATGCCACTTATCAAAACTGTGAAACAGAGGTATTTTGCAAAACACAAAGGCTTTTTGTAGATATAATGATTTTTAAAAACTTACGGTCTCTAGAGCTTGTAGTTAAAGAGGTTTTCTGCTAGAACCGACAATATTCTGTTCATGGGGTTGTATTTGCTGTTAGGCTGTAAATGTCTGAAGGGTCTCTTAGGTATAGGTAATGTTCAAATGGGCTCTGTGTTTAAAGGACACCCTGTGTAAAATTGCATGTTGACAGTAGCTGATTCTATGGTTTTTCACCCAGTTTAAGTAAGTGGGATATGCAGATTTGGAGAAATAATTCTGTCTGCTCATTAGCAGGAGGATGCCGGGAGCTGGACTAGGATGGGTACGGGGGAGATGAGGGTGTGGAATAAATTGTAATGTTGAGATTCACCATCAAAAAATGGTACATATAGAAGATAAAATTGTCTTTTTAGTATTTTGTTCTTATTTATACCCAGTCTC